TTCTATTTTTATATAAAAATCATCTCACCTTAAAAACACAACTAGAGTGAATTTGTACCAGTGGAGGACTACCGCAATCAGCGAACATTTCATCAATTTTTATCCCGTTAACCACAGCTGGACAAAGGACTATTCTTCGAACTATCCGTATTAAAAACTATAAACATGAACCTCATCGTCCTCGCGACATTCAAGTTCATCACACAGTAATTCTTCCGGAATCAAGATTAAAGGCTGTTTTGACACACAGTGAACACACAGAAGCTCGTGTCCACCCAAAAACGAAGCTTTCTTTCCATGCATAGTGCAAAAATCCACCATTTTACAATTTTTTTTCGATAAATCTTTTCTGAATCTTTTGAAACCTCGAGGTGTAAACACAGCGAAAGCCGACCGAACAATGACGGCGCAGAGCGAGAAATCGATAATATGTAAAAAACCGCGCCTGACCGCGTTGCATGCCGGTATAGTCCTCACTCCTCCTCTGGCCTAGACCTAGGCCTTCTAGTCTTATTTATATATTTTTAATATTCAGCGCTTTTTCACATGAAAAGACTGGGACTAGGTGATTTGGGGGCGGGGCGAAGGAAGCAAACCTAGAAGGCCTAGTGGATTTCCCAATAACAAGGCCAAAACTGCCCTGAAACTGCCCTGGTTGCGAAATGCCCAATTATTGCGTTCTCAAACAGAATTATTTGCAACTTAACCGTGAATTTAAACCGATACAGGTAAAATAAACTGATTTATAGTATAAACTTACTATTTTTATTTGTATACACGTCTAGAAAATCGGGTTTTTTATCATAAAGTTCGAAGCAACACTATTATTTAAATATGTTGACAAGGTGTAGCGAAAGCACAAAATGAGTCAAAATATATACCAAAAGTAGAATCTTTCATGAAATTTTGTCTTATACACAACTACATTAATATATATTTTCTCAATTTTGGCAAGAAGCAGTCTTTTGTTTGTAAAATATACAAACACATATACAATTATAATTTATTAAATAAAACGGATACATATATTATTAGCCCGTACAGTACTGTATATAAAAACGTACATTGTTTATCCGTAATATTCGAACAATAATTTCAAAATCCTCATTCCCAATTCGCAAATATAGTTATTCAAAGCAAAACGGTAGATTGTCTTGCGAATAAAAGAATTATTATTTTGTGCTTTTGCTTCACCTTGTCAACATAATAATAGTGTTGCTTCAAACTTTATGTCTAGACGTGTATACAAATAAAAATAGTAAGTTTATACTATAAATGAGTTTATTTTACCTGTATCGGTTTAAATTCGTTGTTAAGTTGCAAATAATTCTGCTTGAGAACGCAACAATTGGGCATTTCGCAATCAGGGCAGTTTCAGGGCAGTTTTGGCCTTGTTGTTGGGAAATCCACTAGGCCTTCTAATTTTTCGCTTGCGTCAGGCTTGTGTCCTTCCTCCGCCCCGCCCCCAAATCACCTAGTCCCAGTCTTTTCATGTGAAAACGCGCTGAATATTAAAAAAATATAAATAAAAATAGAAGGCCTAGGTCTAGACTGCTTGTTATATAGTTAGTGTCAAAATTCAATTTTTCTGTTTGGCGATTGGTCAAAACCGTGTCACGTGCCGGTCCACAAAACGTCATGTTCGGCAGCAGTTCCGGAATCAAACATTTATTGACCGGTCGATAATAAAATGGGTGCAATACGCATGCGTGTCAACCATGAAGTTCCAAAGTTCATTTTTAAAACTTTTTACTAAACACATGATTTACGGCGCTCCATTTATCCAGTTTTGGTTTCAAATTTAAAAGTTCACTCCAATAACCGATGAATTATTTATACTTTCACACTTATATACTATATAACAATATTATATACCTCAAATTCAAATTGTCCAATAAAAAAACAGCATTTGTACCACGTGATAATGTGATTTTTTACGGTATTTCACTCAAATTCATGATTTCGCAATGCAGCGTGAGATACTATAATATCCCACAGCAGATCCACCGTGGGATATTATAGTATCCCACGCTCACGCGTGACGCGTGAACACCACGCTCTGAAACAATATGGCGTTCGCGAGCTGTTGTTTGTAATTTCGTACAGAAGATTTGATTTAACCAAAGATTTCAAGACATATGTTACCTTTAACCACTTTACCACTCTTTCATTTATAAAAACTCAAAGTTGGCAAAGTAAAGTTTTAGTACGTGCGTGAAGTCAATCTATATTTAAAGTACACATGTAAAAATATGGAATTTTACATATCTGTGATATTCAGTGCATTCTAAAACGCAACTTATTTTCTTAGAAAAAAATTCATCTTCATGGCTGTTTATTAAAAGTTACTGGAAGTGACAATGAATATTATAAGGCAATGCAAATCAGTTTTCTTTTGTTTCTTTTGCCACAAATGCAGAAAATTGCCACTAAACAGCCAAAAAGACAATGAAGATAACGTTTTGTCCTATTATAAAAAAAAGTATATTAGTTTTTCTGTGTTGGTGTTGTGTACTCAGGTAAATAATATGTTTGCGATGTTACTCTGAGTGCATATCCACACCGGGCGAGCTTGAAAAATATGCAAGGGCCACGGTGGGATTCGAACCTACGACCTTTGAATACTAGCCCAATGTTATTCCAACTGAGCTACGCGGTCAGGACGGTTCGAGTAAGCGATATTTCGGAACAGTATCTAGTTCCTTCAATACCAATGTGTTCTAGTAATATGAGTTTTTCTGTGTTGGTGTTGTGTACTCAGGTAAATAATATGTTTGCGATGTTACTCTGAGTGCATATCCACACCGGGCGAGCTTGAAAATTATGCCCGGCCACGGTGGGATTCGAACCTACGACCTTTGGAATACTAGCCCAATGCTCTTCCAACTGAGCTACGCGGTCAGGACGGTTCGAGTAAGCGATATTTCGGAACAGTATCTAGTTTGAAACAGTATTCTATTTCGGAACAGTATCTATATTGCTTTACGATTACTTATCTTGCGATCGTTGGGAAGGACCAAATGTCCAAGTCCATAACCAGATAATTCAGGTCCACCAGAGTACCATTACTTAACCTATTATAAAACGCTGCTGGGAGAAAGAAAAATTGACCATAGACGACTGGCAGTCAAGAACGCAGATTATCAAACAGTTTGCAGAAAAGAAGTTATCTTCTTGAGATCCAGAAAGCATTTGCGGACATGTATATTTTGAAACCAAAACCAGTGTTAGAATATGTTAAACATCTGGGAGTTAAAGAATAGGGGGAAAAGGAAAAAGAGGTACGAAAAGGCAGAAAACGATAAAAAAGAGCAAAAAAGAAGATGTATCCTGATTCGGACTACACGTGGGATAACCTGGTTAATTAAAGATGACAAAGAACTGAAAACGCTTTATTGCGTTTGTGAGCTGAACAAATACCTTGTGAACAATGGTCTACATAAATACTTGAGAATACGCAATCCTGATCTATATTCCAAAATCTATATTCTCCAGCAGCACTGTTTCTCAAAACATGGGGAGATGGAGGAAAAGAGGGGTTTGGAAACTCATAAAAATAATTAACAATATACGTTATTATCTATGTTAGTAATATGTTAGTACCTCCCTCCTCCTCCCACACACGGCCCACCCCCGCCCTCCTGATAAAAAAATGAACGAAATACAAATTTATTAAAGAAATACAGAGCAGTTTCTTGTGTTTCTATAAGCACTTGAAAGATTTCGAAGTAACCTGCAAAACTGCCCAGAATTCACGTTCTACCATCTCCCACGCATGTATCCATAACTGTACAGAAACACGGAAATGTACTATATTCCTTATTATTTTTAAAATTTCAAACAAAATCTGCTGGGTCTTTTTTTGAGTACCAGCTTCATGACCGTAGCAGAATAACTGGATTTAATCAGCCAAAATGTTGGTCTTCTGTTTGGCTATTTCGACTGACACTAAGCGTGACAAGACGTGCCTAAAATCGCTCTGCGAAATTGTGAAATAATTTGATCAAAATTAGTGAAATGAGTTCTGATCAAGGCAAAGGAGGTAGCGTCCTGCACGGTATATCAATAAATAATAAAGGAAAACCGATATGGACCGAATCTTATCAATTATTACAGACATTTGTCGAAGAAGTACTGAACTTATCGAATGGCGTATGGTCTTGCCCTGGTGGGGACGCGAAACAGTATAAAGCTGAAGATATCGATATAAGATGGTACCCGGAAACCCAATCAATCACGTTAAATGGAAAGGCTAAGGACGAGATCAAAGAAAAGTTGCTCTCTGTAGCTGCTATACAAATACAGTTGGCGAGCACTGTAAATGAAGATTTCGACCAGAACGGCCATGTTGATGAGACCATAACCCACTCTTCCCAAAAAGACAATAGCACTCTTTCCCTAGAGACTCTCAACAGTCAATTAGAAGCATATCCAAAGACGTCAATGCAAATGCGACAGCCATTAAGTTGTTTACCGAACATGCTAATGCACTCAATACAGAAATGGTAATCTAAAGATGGAAAATCACAAGCTTATGAATGAAAACATTGACCTCAAAAGCGAGAACAACAACTTGATCGAGAGAGTGAAAAATCTAAGCTATATCTTGGCAGATTTGCAGGGAAAGGCCAAAATCGCTGAGGATGAAAAGAATTCCCTAATTACTGCTATGCGATTACTCATCGAAGACCTCAATTACAAAGACTCGAATCACAAAGAAAGCGTGATAAATACGAATCGTAACGAAGAAATGGTACAAAGGTGCCCACAAATGGCAAATTGTTTACAGCAGACAAACGAAGTGTCAAACGAAGTGATTAATCCGAGTATTAATTTAAGCAATAGGTATTCCGCCCTAAGTGTTGACGAAAACGACGTAAGCGATCGCATTGCCTGGGATGCTGTATAAGAAACGAACTTGAACATACATATGCAAATACCCACCGATCAACGCAGACACCCAATCGTAAGCAAAACCAATCACACAATACAGACTGGAAATGAACAGGGAAAATTCAACTCAACATCGCGATAATCAAACGAAACAACGGACTGACCACCGAAATCGTCCCAACGTAGTCATAATGGGAGACTCCATGATCAAACACATAGAGCCGGCAAAGCTCCGACAAGGGTTTAAGAGTGGAGTAACATTCAGAACTTTTGCGGGAGCTAAAACAGAAGATATGAAGTACTACCTACAACCTACATTAAAAGCTAAGCCTAGCCATCTTATTCTTCATGTGGGAACTAACGACCTCTCTGGGAAATCGCCTGAAGAGATTGCTCAAAATATTTCAGAATTGGGGAAAGCCGCGACTGAGCAAGTCCCTGGTCTCAAGCTCAGTATATCAGAAATTATAACGAGATCCGACCGTGAAGACAATGATCAGAAGGTACAACAAGTTAATTCATTAGTCGAATCGACATGTTATCTACAATCATGGGAATTTGTTAAACACTCAAATATTAATAAGAGTCACTTAAATCAAGGAGGGTTGCACCTCAATAGGAGAGGTACGGCTGTACTTGCCCAAAACTTTAAACACTGTATCAGGACCTCTGAGACAAATTGACTGATTGAGAACCTTACCCCAAACTCAGATGCAACGTTAAATTCGCCTCATATACAGCCAAACCCCGAATATGATTTTGGTTTGCTTGATAATCTAATTCCTAATGAGCGTGGCTTCAAAATTGCTAATCTTAATATTAATAGCCTTTTAAAACATGTAGACGAATTACGAGTATAAATGACTAAACAACAACTAGATATTTTAGCAATCAATGAAACTAAAATGGATTCTGATGTACCCCTAGATTTAATTTCCCTGGAGGGCTATACCTGGGTTTTTAAGAAAAGAAATAGATCTGGTGGGGGTGTTGGTTTCTACATTCGAAATACAATTAACAAGACCTGACTTGGGTCATCATGATATTGAAGCTCTTACAATAGAAATTCATAAATATAAAACCAAACCTTTTCTAGTTTCAACGTGGTACAGACCACCTAATTCACCCATTGACTTGCTAACAAAATTCGAAAACATTCTACGGCTTATTGATACGGAAGAGAAAGAGAGCATTATCCTGGGTGATATAAATTGTGATCTATTACACAAAATCCAGATCATATGACGAAAGAACTCAATTTCATTACTAATTTATATCAATACAAACAATTGATAGACGAACCTACAAGGGAAACTAAGAATTCGGTATCTTTAATTAACCATTTCTATACCAATAAAAAGGAAAATATTATATTAGCAGGAGTCTCCAAAATAACGATTAGTGACCATTATTTAATATATGGCATTTTGTCATTCCCATCGTTAAAAGGAGAGGAACATATTTTGGAGTTCCGTGATTTCAAAAATTTCAATGAAGATCATTTCCTACGCGATATAGCATCGTCCGAAAACCATAATTTGGATTCATACACGGATTCCAACCGAATGTGGTATATTTGGAAAAATAAATTTACTGAAATTATTGATAAACATGCACCACTTAAAACCCGTAAAATCGGTAAGAAGCGTACCCCTTGGATTATACGAAACAAATACGTCATAGTAAGCGAAATAAGAACTTATTAAAGAAAAAGGCCTTGAAATCTAAAAATGAAAATGATTAGCAAATCTTCAAATCAGCTAGAAATTCTTATAATAAATTAATGAAGTCGTCCATTCGCCATCATTATAGTGTTGAGATTAGGGATAATCAAGGA